ATCCAGTAGGGGCACAGCCCGCTGTTTTGCCACTAGATTTTAAAAATTTCAATGCATATTAATGCTACGTGCTACTCACTTATCTATTCTGAACCTAACGTTGTTCCCCCCCGGTTTGAAAAATTCCGGATCCGCCCCTGTTTTTGCGTCCGTGTGGTTCTGTGTGGTGGCCTGTGGTCCCATGATCTGTGTGGTATTTAGTAGGACAATCGGGTCCATTTCTAGCCGATCGGGCCCTAAGAAAAGTCTCATCTAAATATCATGGAAACCCCAGTCTCAAATGTTAGCTAATGCTTAGTAATCGTTCTTTTTTTACTATTGTTTCTGTGTCTAATCTAGTATTCAAATCACTATTCTTCAAGTCCATATGAAAAGGTTAGTGCCTACCTTGGAGGATTTTACTTTGACTTTATCTTAAGTTCCCTTGGCTGCAGAAGTCTTAATGTTAAAGGTGGAATGAACAATTCTTATGACTTTTAAATGTGTAAAACTACGTAGGCCTATCCAAATTTATTTTTAACCACAATCCGTTCAAAATGTTCATGCAGCCAAACTCATCATGATTTAATTGTAAACCTTCATTGTATTGTGCATCTAAAAATTTAAACAAACTTTTCAAATGAAACAAAAATTAACTTCAGTTGGGAGTAGATTTCCTATTCTTTTTAAAGTTGCTTAGATCTCATGTTATTAAATTTCAAAGAAATATTGCCATGGAGAAGAATACATGTTTAATATAAGAAATATCAGTTTAATGCCAAGTAAGCCTTATTTTGTATTGTTAATAAATGTGTTAATAAGTGTTTAAAGAAATTTAAAAGAACATGGAATTAATTTTAGCAATACCATGAGAATTTTTTTTAGATTTATCTCTTTACTTAACGAATAGATGAATATCATGTCATCTGGTTTTAAGATCGCAGTGCTGGTGTCAGAACTTTCTTGTCAAGGAGGCTAAGGTCCCTGACAAGGTGGTCCAAACTCCCTGACACGTGGTCAAAGTTTATTTGTTAGACATGTTCCTGGCCCAGTTCTGATTGGTCAGTTTTTAAGTTTGACACTCCAGAAAGGTGCATTAAATATTGTTAAATTTATCCTGTTACAGTGTTCTTCAAAGCCTACCAAATACTTTGCATGGATGCATTATAAAGTCATTGCAGACTGCCTTGACCAATCACATTGCCTCCTGTGACCAAAGTGACCAATCATCATGCAGAGTCAGGATAGATACTTTGCAGTCATTGATGGAGAACTTCAGTCTTGGAGAAGCCGCTCTGAAGGCAACTCTTCATCCAGGTAAAATTTTACAAGCAGTAGACTAATAATCCAAGAAAACTACTTAAGGAATAAAAGGTCTGTCCAGACTGTCAAATTTTATTTGACAACAACATGTGACATTCCTAAATTTAGTCATGATGACATCACATCATGACCATATATAGGCACATCATGACTATATACAGTTTTTGGTTTGGGAAATGAGATAATATGGAGAGAGCTTTAAAATTGGGTGAATCACATGCAGTTCCTGATAATTTAGATACTGTAAGTCTCTCCAAGGAATATTCCTCTGGGTGGTTTCTGACATCTGTTTGGTCAATTCATTTTTTGTCATTTTTTTTTACAAACGCCATCATGTATGGAATTCCAGAGAATGTATTGTGTTCTTGATTTTAGTGAATTTTTTTTCTGTTTTCAGTCATTGCTATACTGGAAGATGTTCTTCACTCCATTGTTGCAAGAATAAGGTATACTTATGGGATGAGTTGTACTTGAGTTGTGGGTTTTAGTGAGAGTATATGGTGGGCACTCACTGCATCGTACAACAGTTGTATGAAAATCGTTCAATGAATCCAACTTCGCTCCCTGTGAGCGCTAGATAATGCGATGCTGTCTGCTGATTACCAGTGACAGTCTAAACCTATCATCGTTAAATACGATCTTTTGCGTGTGTTGTGTCATTGCAGTCTTTATGGAATCGTGTCGGCCGATGACCGTAGGCGGCAGAGAGTGCCCGGCTTTAGTGAGTAGGTCGTCATTCAGTTATATTTTGCATCCTGTCAATCAAAATTTATGTTCACATTTTTTTATGCTTACCAGAGATAATATTGAAAAGACTGCTGTTGGACAGAGTGAAATGATGCATCATTGCCTAGCAACAGTGAAAACTGCAAGAGTTTTAGTCCGTAAATGTTATTCAGAGTTACATGATGAAGTAACCAACATCGACAGCAAGATGAGGAGCCGCATCCAAAACATAAGAAATGATGCCTGTCATATTTTAAAAGATGGTAATTAACCTCATTATTTTAACATATTTAATTCATTTTACTGTCATCCTACACCAAGTGTGTGCCCATTTTAAGTTGGTAATAGTAATTGTGCACATAACTAAGCTTCATTATAAGAAGTGTTGAGTAAAGAGTACACTCTTATTGTTTAGAGCTTACCAACGTTATCACCCACCTACCTTTAAGATGTCTACCACCCAGTCTTAGATTGCTACAACTACAAGCCTGCCTTTGATATTCTCACTAAAGATGTATGTTATTTTTGTGAGTTATAAGATGTTCTTTTTTTAGGTCTATTTTTTGCCGATTGTCAAAATGCAGCCGGTATGATACTTATTCAGAACATGCTACTACTGTCTGATCAAGAGTTGCCTGCAAAAGAAATTGCCGATGAGCTTTGTATTGAGTTTCACCATCTTCCCCCACTGTCCAAGCTGTTCATTTGCCAAGGTGTATTGGCAACTGTACTGAAAGATCAGTTGACAAGGCATCTTGTGGGTGATGATTCTCTTTTGGAAATGATGTTTCAACAGATCTGGTGTCTAGTGAGTGTGTGAGTTTGCCTCTGATAATAAATTTATTCATATAATTATATATTATGCAGCATTGCACTAAATTTTTATGATGAACCATTCCTTAGTTTTTACATAATACTGCTGGCAAAGAGACAACAGACAAATAGGGGAATACATTTAACCTCCTTGGTAGAGGTAAAAATCAGATACATTTGGATATCGGATTTGTGAAATGATTTTTTATCAACCTCAGATTAATGGAATCGTTTTCTGCTCTCTCTGTACTTAGAGCCGCCACTGGTTATACTATATAGCTGAAGTGCAACACTGTATAGCAAAGGTCCCAAGTTGAAAGAAGTCAATTCTGGGAGATCTACTGTGGCTGATCCAGGAATTTGAAATAAGGGGGTGGGGGGGGGGACTTTTACAGATGTAGGGTAGGCCTACCTCCTGAGCCCCACCATGATTATAGTACCTCTAGATTGCCACAAATGACACTCTCTTTGTTAAATTTTATATATTACACACAGTGATCCATCGACAGTGACTTCCATGAAACAATTGATAATAAAATATTTAAAACTGTAAATATTATGAATTTGCGAAAAATGGGTAATTTCTGGTAGAATCTTGCTTGTTTTGCGGGAGTGCGGAAGGTCATCCCGATTTCCGGGAGACTGCCGCGAGTTTCAGGAGACTTGGCACCCCTGGTATAGTAAGGCCTGCATGGAGAATATATCCTTCGCACAAGAATTTGGCCCAGAAATCCATCCACGCATTTCAGAAAATAAGGGCCAATATCCACGCAGAATAGGAGATTAATTACCCAACAGATTGGCCAGAACCTTTCATCACAACATGTTGAACTAAAAAAAATGAATACATATATTTCAAATTTGTTTCCCATTTTTTGGTATAACATTTCCTAATACAGGTTCCCCTATTTATAACTACAGGAATATGCGAGATAGGTAACATGCATGGAAAGAACCACGCTAGTATTATTTTAATAAGTGCCGCTCTTGAATAAGCGCAGCACTGAAGCCTAAAAAAATATTATAAGCCCTGCGCCGCTTATTCAAGGATTTACAGTAATTTGACATTCCAATTGGACAGATTGAGTAAATGTGCTTATTCAACTGGTTTATTTGTATTATTTTTATTTCGACTGGTTTGTAAAATAGACTTTGTTGACAACGAAAATTAATGTAACCAGAGTTGGATAATCAGCATTAAGTTATCCACGTGACCAGAACAAACATGGCCAATTGGTCAGTTTAGCAACAACATTTGTGTTAATAGAATTTAGATTAAATTTCAGAAAATAAAAATTATAATATTTACCCACATGAAGTCAAAAAATAATTGTAGGCTAACAGAATTAAAAAACTGGATGAAAAACATTTTTTTTTATGGAAAACCCATACTGCCCACAAGTCAAGCAATCTTGATTAAGCAGCGTATATTGCGTATTAACTATGCAGTCATTTTGTTTTGTCAAGTATTTACAAGTTTTCTATTCGACTGGTCGTCTTCGTTAAGTGGATTTTACCACTGGCGCAGGTGGGCATGGTTTAACGAAAAACGACCAATCGAATACAGCCATTGATATGATTGTGATATATACTGTATTGAATAAGAGCTATCTTGTTTTAAGGTACCAGACAGGACAAGGTCGTGTCCGAAAATTCCTGATCCTATGACAAAGATTTTGAGCAAAGATAGTTCTACAGTAGTATTGTAAGTATAAATCATTTATTGTAAACCACCTAAGAATACAAGCCTCTTTCACAGTGTAAAGGAAACCTTTTATTATATATACTGTATTTATTAGAGTAAAGAATTTCATATTGTCGAAAGTATTTCATATTGGAAAGGTAAAGGTAAAAGAAGAACCTGTAACTTTTATTGTCATTACGCCAAATTTTATACAGCCATTGAGAGGCACTTAGCATGTTTGCATCCTTCTGCAATGACATTGGCTGAAATAACCAGTGTATCAAGGTATTGCCCTTCACGAGCCAGATGTGTACGCTGGACATCAATTTTTAAGTCATTATCGAAGTTGTGGAAGGTCTTGAACCATCACCGATTATAATGCTGAAGTTAGCAGCACCACTACCTTATTGCTCAGCCGCTGGACCCTATAAACGAAGCCATCAGTCGTTTCAATTGCACTTGTCTTCGTTAAATGTCTGTGTAAACAAATTCAGCCTGGTTTACATAGGGTGAGCGATTCTATAGAAAGCAAGCTTTAGATGCTTTACTGTAGAGAGCGTTGCCATACGCATTTTAATTTAACAGTTATGTAAAAACATCATATAAAAATTGGGATATATATAATCATATACACCGTAATTGTTTAAACATATGTCTTGACAATTTGACATTTTTATTTATCTGTTTTTCTCTCACCCAGTATGACTTACACGAGCATGTGCCTCCACTTGATCATTCCAACCTCTCTACAATTCAAAGTGTGTTTGATTATCGTTGTTTGGTGTCCGGAGGCGACAGGGTGTATATTATGGGAGTGGGAGTAAGTATGAATTTTAGCGAAAGTGTGGCTCTTACATGCTTAGTACTTTCGATGTATGCGTGTGTATATAGCCTTCATTGAAATTTTTATAGCGCATAAAGGGAATATGAGGCCTGTCATCCACAAACCAGCGTACTATCACTATATGTTGAACTGAGAAGAATGGGGCAGTATTGTATGCTTTTGTACGGAGAAGCCATAATTACTTTTGCTCATAACTTTGACAATAGTAAGTTGTTTCCAGTAAATATCCCATCATTTTAAAGCTTATAATGAGGAGAATAAAAATATATTAAAAAATCGCTTTCATTTTTTTTTTTTTGTTCACTGATGATGGTTATGCGAAGGCAAGCCTCATATATATTAGAATTCTACCCAAAAGTAATCCTGGAACAGAGAAACTTGAGGCCTGTCTCTTATACACATCTAGATGTGTATAAGAGACAGTCGTACAACAGTTGTATGAAAATCGTTCAATGAATCCAACTTCGCTCCCTGTTCTCTAGAGAAAAACTTATGGCCATGATGTGATGTCATCATACCATATTTAGGCATGTTACGTCTTTGGGTTGGCAAGCTTGATATACTGCATCTGATTCATTTCTCCGTTTTATTTTTATCTCAGCGGTCACACGTCTTTAAATGTGATGGCAAATTCAATAATAAATGGACCAAGTTTGAGAATTGCAACCTGAAATTACCGGGGGATACGTTATTCGAAGCAGAGGTGGTGCAGGAACTTAAAGGAGAGGTAGGTATTATGCCGCAGTCGAATGTGTTTTAAAGAACCAAAAGTTGAAAACAGGTTGAGTGGTTAGGAGAGTGTTTTCCAAACTTTTGATCCCAGGTTGAAATCCCATGATGTCTTTTTGGTGGAGTGAGTGCAGTATCTAGGCTTATAGGTATTACCACTCCAGGCTAAAATTGTTCTTGATAATTGCCCAATAAATATTAATTTAATATGGAAATATATACAATATATAAATTATCACTTTATTGCATCAAAAACTCAAAGAAAACAAAAAAACATGTGCTTATTATTACCTAGGACTTGTTCCTTATAAAGGGAACATGCAAGGCTGAGCCAAACAACCCAAAAAAAATCACACGAGCAAAATATCATTATTCATTTAAGTTCCAAAACAGAAACTAAAGAATTCAATAAAAATAATTGTCAAATTTGATGTTGATAAGAGGAATTCTTAAAATTATTTACAATTATAATTACAAAACATTTTTTTATCAATTTTGTTTTACTAGGTACTTTATTTCTTTTTATTGTATTAAAAAATCAATGTTTGATAATCTCCATTTAGGTTTAGTCAGTGGAGGGGGGGCGGGGGAGGCTCGACGGAGCATGGAATCATTTTCTTTTTGTGTTTCACAACAAAAAAAAAAGACCAACCAGTGACTTTGTTCATCTTTCACTGAGCAGACTACAGAACAAAATACAGTGGTCCCAGGTTCTATGAAATCCCTTCTGGGAGATCTGTTTAAATGAGCTTAACATTTTCAATTTTATTTTGCTGTTCATGGTGATACCCATCAGCACTGACTTCCATGAGACAATTGATAATAAAGTGGTAAAAGCATGCAAATATTATGAATTTGCAGGAGATTGGTTATTTTTCTGGAGATTCCTGCTTGCTTGCAGGAGTGTGGGAGGCCGTCCCGCTTCCCGGGAGTCTTCCGCGACTTCAGGGAGACATGGGACCCTTGAAATCATGAAATTTGCATTCTTGACAAACCACTGCTGTGCATTATGTAAATGGTCTGCAACAGAATATTTTTGTAGTAGTCATGTGCTTCTGCCTGTTCTGTTTTACTTAACTGCAGTGTTTGATCTAATTCCATCCGGGCACATTGGAATAAGAGATTATTGGAATGTAGGTAACCATTGTAAATTACCTGATTTTTCTCTGCTTGCATAGTACCAAAATAACACACTAAATTTTAGTAGCATAGTAACCTTCTTTTCCCTCCACTTGATTCTTCATTATTATTCTAAGGGCTCTGGTCAGAGACGTATTACAGCTATACATATCATTGACTGCATGTGGCTAGCTGGTCAGGACGTTAGACAAAAACACTTTACAGAAAGGTAAGAAAATAGAGATAATTTTATTTATAGACAAAAACACAAGAGGACTCACCCATGTTAAATATTTGTATTTAGTCAGATAGTTCTGAGGACCTATCTATCCAATTTTGTTGTAGTTATTAACAACACAGAATTTTGTGGTATGGAGCAATGATGGTGCCATGTGCCAACAGTGGGGGGGGGGGGCAGCAGGGAAGGCATTTCCACCATCGGACAGGCCTGGACCCTCCCTGCCATCTGATACCACGACGAGGTCTGTGAATAAAAAATTTGAAGAAATTACATCCAAGTAATGTTGCCAATTTCTCTAATATTGTATACCGAAAAGCACAATTTTTGACCATACTAAGCCATAAAAACTTTTTTATCCCGGGACTTGGACCAAGGTATTAGTTGGTTTAATTGATGGATAGTTGGTTAATGGTTAGTTAAATAATTGGTTTTGTTGCTTTGGTTTTAGTTGGTTTAATGGAGAGTTGGTTGATTGGTTGGTTTATTGATAGTTGATCGACTGGTTCTGTTTTCTGTTTTAGTTGGTTTAATGGTTTGTTGGATGCTTGATTGGTAAATGTATTGGTTGTCAATTGACTTTGCAACATTCCCTGACAATACTGCTAACAAAATGTTTTTTTTTTTTTGTTTTTTTTTACAGAATTGGGAAAGCTGAGTTGTTTGTTCGCAGCATATCCAGGCCGAGCCGGCAAGATCTCACTCCCATCCGAGTGAAAGAAGTATTCCGACTTGAGCAAGCAGAAAAGATATTTGAAAGGTTGATATATTTTTATTATTATTATGAAATTATTTATGTAAGTGTTAAATTTTTTATTTATAATTTTTATGAATATTTGTTATTTATAATCATTCTTATTATTTATGTTTTATTACTGTTATTGCTTTTTTTCAGCTAGACTACTATTATTTTATTCAATGTAATATTTTTCAGATAGATATTTTAGGATATCTTTGTCTTATTATTCAATATTTATTAACAATTTAACAATATTTGTTATTATCTAACCAATATTAGGCTAGAGATGCGGGCAGTGAAGGGTTCGCGAAAGCCAAGGCTGTGTTTTCGCTCCAACCAGAACAGTCATTTTTTACCCTGTGGACTTCACTTTGTTAAAATTACAAATGGTGAGATTTCATCTAATTAAGCTACTTTCTCTCATGTCTGATAATAAATATTTGAGAAAAATGTATGTCCCTATTGGGATTTGAACCCAAGAACTTCCGATTACTGTTTAGATACTCTACTAACTGAGCTATGATGCCTAGTGGTATACTACACCCATTGATCTTCCCATTAGGACCAATTTTTTCTGAAGGTATTATGTAATACCAATTTTTATCTCTTTAACAGTTTTACAGTATTTGTAATTAACAGCAATGTTTGTTTTTACTAAGTTTAATATTGATTTTATAATTTGGGTGGCATTTATTATTATTTCTTTCTTTTCTAATAAAATGAAAAACCATTTATAGTCTTTTATATTGTACTGTGTTTTTAGGTTATCTTAATACGTAATGAATAATAAATAGGAAAATAAATGGGAAAATATTTTCTCAAATATTTATTATCATCTTTTAACTATCACTGTGGAGGTGTATCTCCATACCAAAGCTACTATGTCTGAGTGAGTCAATAAAATGTCACTAAAATATGAAGTTAAATTCAAAGTGTAGACCTCAGAGAGAGCAGCTAGCTCATTCGGCTAAACTGTTGGTAGCCACTGTGTGTGCGCTGAACCGTGGAGATCTGTTTGTTACCTGTTCAATTCCCATCCCTGCTGTTCTTGTGTTTCATTTGAAGGACTGAAATGTAAGTTTCAAAAGCGCACCATTTTACCGATGAGACGTTTAAGCTGTTGGTCCTGCGTGCATTATGGCTCGTGTGCATGTTGAAGAATGCAGTACATTGTTCGGAAAAGAGTCGGGGATTGGCTCCCGGTGTATTGCCCAATCACTGGACCCCACTGGACATAAGTCTCCTTCTAGACTTTCGTGGGCTATCCTTGGTGTTTACACCAAATACATATAATCCAATCGAACCTCATTTGTTATAAGAGATGTCTGAATATGATTATGTATGAGCCAAAATTTATCCTATTAATTTCTATTTAAAATCTTATATTCTATTTTTGTTTTTTTATCTCAGAACCTTGGACTATGAATTTTAGCCGGTCACAAAAACGAAAGTATTTCTTCAACTTGGTTACAAACGAGTCATTGTTTGAATGCCCGTCAGATTCAATAGCATCGTTTAGGTAAGATATTCACGGTGATATTTTAAATTCTTTAATTTGTATCTCTCCCAACATTGACTGAATCGTTGCTTTTTGGGCATCTATCTATCCATCTTTTCAGATTATTTGCTAATGTGGAATGCCAGTGATTTTTCCCTTCTATCCCATTTACATTTATCTTTCCATCTCTTTTTCGTATGCACCAGTATTGTCACTTTCCAACAAATTTACCAAATTCCATTTGCAAAGATAGTAAACTATTAAGTAATTCCACATATTATTTTCCATTAAAAAACTTGTTGTCTATGGCAACGTGGCAGATGACCACAGCTTTACACCAGATTTAAGTTTATATACATTTACACAAATATTTAAAACTACTTTTTTTTTCATTTGCATACAGAGATTGCCACAAAACAAGACTGTTATGGAAATGGGAGGATGGAGTAGTCGTACATGATGTCCAGAGCAATAGGGACGAACACAAGCTATCTAAGGATGACATATTAAACTTTGTGCAACGGAAAATACCAAGATGAAACTACGTAAACTATCAATGGGCTTAAAAATTAGTCAGAGGGCATAAAATTTGGTTGGAGTTCTTAAGTGAATTTTCGATTTGAAACTGAGGGCTGTGTGCAAACTCTGACATTTCCAGTGTGCTCGCAAAAACCTTCATGCACTGCTTTTTCACCGCTTTATGCTCAGCTTTTAACATCATTATTTTTAGTAATGATAGGCATTGAGCCGTAACAGCAATGGGTTTCTAGCCAAAGATAGTAAGCGGGACACACACATTTATTGTTTTTAATGTATTTTCGCGAGCTGCAAGAAAGTTGCCATCAGGTCTTATGTTGCCTGCAAGCCACATGTTGCCCTCTTGACATAAGCTCTTTGTTTTAATTGTATTATTACCTTTGCTTTCATGCAGATAACTTTATGGAATATCATTTTAAATGATAGAAGTTTTTATGATTCAAATCAGTTCAGTATCGGTATTTATATTTACATTATCTCATGTAATGATGAATGATTGTAATAAAAATAATTAGAATAATTATGGTAATGGATTGGTGGGTGGGGGTGGTGCTAGGCTTCCCTGACGGGAGGGTGTGTGAACCCATTGTCGGGGGCTTGGACTCCCTTGTCAGGGAGCTTAACCCTTCGTCGAAGAATTCCTGGCGCCGCCTCTGCAATCAATATGTTGTGTATTGTTGAGGGATTATAACTAACAATCAATCACTCAATCAATAAGCCAATTCGTAGTTTGAACTGTACATGCTCGTATCTAGGGGTGGATTTGGGGTCAAATTTCCTGGGGAGGGGGAGTCAGGATTATGAGGGCCGGAAATGAGACTTTTATATTAAATTTGTATAGTAAAATTCACCACATCACCATTGTAGTCAAAATGAAGTGAACTTTTATCAGCAGTTTTTGGAAACCATAGAGATTTCATTAATGTGTGATGTGCCATAGAAAATAAAACTAATAGAAAAATTGTTTGATGTATTCACTTTACCTACTTCAAAGCCATGAGTCCACATTCACCTCAGTGGGGCTGAAGTGCAAAAATTTGGGGAAATAGTACCTCTAGATGGCTGGAAATGACATTCTTATACTGTATAGGAAAATTCATCATCACATCACCAATATAGTCAAAATGAAGCGCATTATAGGCAATGGCGTATCTAGTCTTTGAATGGGGATGCTGGCGCCAGTAATTTTTGGAGGGCCGTGCGCATCCCTCCTAGATACGCCACTGATTATAGGTAATTCAGACGATTGTGGGCTAGAGATACCGGTATCTTACTTTAAGATAAGATGTACAGTATTCTGGTTGTACAGCGCTCCTTTAAAACCTGGGTCATTGATACATCTTTTGAATTTGTATTGCTGTCGAACACCCTTTTGAAAACATGTTGGGGATGTGTCATATTTCTCCCCCCCCCCCCTTATAATCTGCGTCCAAGGGCACCCGGGTCCTGAAAGGGTAGGTCTGAAATTTGTTTTTGCTAGGCAACTCAAAGGGGAGTCACGACCTCTCACGCCCCTCAGATCCGCCAATGGTATCCAAAGTTAATCAACATGAACCTATGTTGTGTGCATTGTGTGTATGCTGTCTCTTATACACATCTAGATGTGTATAAGAGACAGCATGACGTCCTAGATGGCTGGAAATGACATTCTTATACTGTATAGGAAAATTCATCATCACATCACCATTATAGTCAAAAGGAAGCGCATTATAGGCAATGGCGTATCTAGTCTTTGAATGGGGATGCTGGTGCCAGTAATTTTTGGAGGGGCGTGCGCATCCCTCCTAGATACGCCACTGATTATAGGTAATTCAGACGATTGTGGGCTAGAGATACCGGTATCTTACTTTAAGATAAGATGTACAGTATTCTGATTGTACAGCGCTCCTTTAAAACCTGGGTCATTGATACATCTTTTGAATTTGTATTGCTGTCGAACCCCCTTTTTAAAACATGTTGGGGATGTGTCATATTTCTCTCCCCCCCCCCCTTTATAATCTGCGCCCATGGGCACACGGGTCCTGAAAGGGTAGGTCTGAAATTTGTTTTTGCTAGGCAGCTCAAAGGGGGGGGGGGTGTCACGACCTCTCACGCCCCTCAAATCCGCCAATGGTATCCAAAGTTAATCAACATGAACCTATGTTGTGTGTATGCGTATGTCGACTGACCATGATACGGGCATGCGCAGTACAAACTACCAGTTTATCAATAAATCAAGAAACCTATCAATCAACATGTTGGGTGATTTGAACCATCAACCAGTAAATCAATCAAACCATCAATCATCATAATGGGCGGGGAAAAACTGTCAGTGTCAGGCAATGGGATTGCGTGTGGCAGGCGGCCTTAGCGGTATAGCAGTCAGTCAGGCTAGAGTGGCAGTGATCTTAAGTCCGACTACTATAAATGGCATTTATGTTGTATACAGCAACATGTGCTGCACTGAATTTGTATTCCAAGTACCTTTCCACTAAGCCCGCTCCTTGGATATTGTTGCTAAGGTCCCAAAACAAGATGTGTAGAAGCAACTGACACGTGCGTTTTTGGGACAGCACTGTCTTTGTTAGGACATGCGCGTGTTCCTGAAACTGTTCTGATTGGTCAGTTGTTAAGTTTGATTGACACTCCGGAAAGGTTCACTGGTTCTGTTGATTGCTGTGTTGGTTGTCACTCATTCATTTATGGAATATGTAGACTGAATGGATGCAAGAGTTTGAAAGTCAATTAAACCCATTCTTTTTCTAAATATATTTTGACAAATAATTTCTTTGATTGTATTCAGTAAACGTGGGAAGTAAATAGACAAACATTATTAAAATCGGTGAAGATGAGAAATCTGTGTGAAAAAATGTCCCCAACCGGGATTCTAACCCAGACTTTTTAGCCAACTGGGGTACTGGGAGCATCTGGAAGATGGTTAAGAAGAGGGCGCATCATATTAATCTCTGTTTCAAATGATACTAGTGTTGTATCGGCACATCATAAGTGTGAAATCAATTGACTCTAATGACCATCTGATTCCAACTTCCTACCATACTAAGCTTTTGGACATCAAATTTTTCATGACATATTTTAATCATCCTAAACAATTTTAGTTCAAGTATTACTGTGGCCTCGTGTTTGACATACTACACAGCTAACAACAAGTAATGACGACCGAATAAATGCTGAAACTGAACTTTTGTATCTGAGTAGGCCTATGTATTTATTCTTTCTTTCCGCAGCACATTTCGGGTCGCTCACTCGATCATCGTTATGGGAGGAAAATCCCATATTTTAAAAATTATTATAAACATATAAAACACATTACAATTGATAAAAAACATTTAGAAAACTCCCTAAGGTAACATTCTTAAAATAAATGACAAGGTGGGGGACTAAACCTAAACAGATTAAAAGGGAAGACAGAGGAAAAGAAAGAGAAAAATTACAGACAAGGAGAGAAGACAAGTATATAAAATTATTGCGAATATAAAAATAATAAATTGCATTTGAAAATCATTTGATGAATAATATATATACACCATTTAATAAAACGTATATACCTATTTCAAAATGAAATCTAACTAAAATTCCTTAATTTGCCAACAATTACGTTAATTTGCATATTTTGTTTTTGTTTATTTACCAACTTGAACAACAAAAAATTCTCGATATAATTCTCGATATAAAAAGACGCTGGTGGCACTCTCCGAAAGTTTCTAACACTAGGAAAAATGATAAATTAGAGGCTTGCGGCAAGTATATATTTAAAAAAAATGTATATAATATATATTATATATATTTTCGACAACCTATACTAATTATGTACACAGTCTATGCATTTGTTTGGTGTGTTCAATATCATTTATCGTACCATTCACCTCCAAGTCTGTTCATCTTAGTATCAAACACATATTATGTGCATATTTTAGTCACTGGTACGATTGGATAGGCGTGTAGGGTCGAAGAACACAAAACATACCGATATTCCAATCACCAATTATATGTTATTAATCGTACTCTAAAATACCAAATAGTAAAATATAGATATATTCCGTATTAAGTAATTTAGCTAAATACACATTTATTAATCAATTCAAAAAAGGAATTTAATTTTTCAATATATTCTTAACCATGAAAGACAACACCACCCCATCATCCTGCTTCATGTGGTTAATAACGGCGGCTTAGGATTAACGAAAACAGCAACGCTGCACAAAGGCCCACTGCTGCTGCGTACGCGTAAGTATGGCTCGCAGGAGGTCGATTTCCTTCAAAAACTTGTTCAATTTCATCTGCATTGTAGCGAAATCTGCAAAGTGGACAGGTTGTGTGTGTTTCAAACCACTTCATCAAACAGTCTTTATGTATGTATCCACCACATCTGCGACATCTGCAGCATAGGCGTTCTCCCAAGCGTTCGAAGTCGATAACGCATGTGTC